AACAAATATTTTGTTTAGATACTTTCCTTCTCATTTTGAAGGCAGTAGAGTACCAAAGGCGCTTTCCTTTCCAGCCGTGCCACCTTAGCTGCTGGCTGGGGAGTCCAGCAGTAACCACCACGTGGTCTGACCCTGTCGTCTTAGCAGGGGGCTTCTGTCCCTAGTTAAAAGAAAGGATGGGGTCCTAGATACAGGCATAATGTGTATTTCAGCTAACTTAACACCCTCAGATAACGGGTGGAAATCAGAGGCAGGGACACAAGTTAACAAGGGAGCTATCTGGGGGAAGCCTGGGGGAGCTACTGGGCTAACCTATTTCTCGTGTGGTTTTCCTCCTAAAATGTTTCCTCCTGTACTTTTCCTACCACAGTTGAATTGCAGGTGGGTTTTGGTGGCGGTGTTGCTTCTTAGTTCGTGGCTAGAAGAGTGCTTAGCAAGCGTAGGGTGGCTTAAATTAAAATGTATACAGTGATGTATGGATACATCTTCATTCCCATTGCCTGTTGTGAAATCCCTGTGCATGACATAATTTTTTTAAAGGCTCAGTAGTTTAGAATTTCACAGTCTTTTGTCCCCTGCTGTCTTTACTTTGCTGCTGTCTTTACAGATTTCTTTAAGAGAAAAGTGGAAGCCTATGCCCTAGTAGTGTTACGTGTCAACTCCTGCGCTCCTGAAACACCAAAGGGTGTACAATAGCTTTTTACATGGTATCACCTTGTGGGTGGTTCTGTTAGTCTTTTTTCCTTTGATTGTTTGCCTAGTATTGTGTGTAGAATCGTCCATATGTGTAACTATAAATGTCAAAATATGATGGCTTGTAAGCTTATTTTATTGAGAGAACTTCCTCAGCCTATTCAGACTAAAAATTTAAGAGCTAAGAGGTATTTTGCATCTGGAAACAAAGACTTATGTTTGCAGTTACAATTTTATCATAGTTTGGACTTTTTGTAAATTCTATAGAGAAAGTGATTATTTGAAAAGAATATAATCAGAAATTAATAATCACAGCTTTATTTTTTTTTTTCCTTGTCTTTTGCAGGCATAACTCCTGTGTGGGTAATCGTGACAGTTCTTATAGGATCAATGCTGGCCGTTGTAATATCTGTTCCTGTTTGTTTCTTTTGCTTTTTGTATCTATATCGACTCACCAAACATGTTTTCTGCCCTTCATATATTTTCCCACAACACTTGAAAGAGGTTTGTTTTCTGCCTAACACAATGAAAATTGGCCTTTTCAGCAGAACCACGTGCTTTCAAAGGCTCAAAACCTTTAAAGCTTCTTTTATTTTGCTTTCTTTGAGTTGCACCTGGTTGTTAGCCATCTGTAAAGTGCAGACTATTCTGAGGGGGTTTTAGACTGTAAGGAGCAGTGCTGGTTATCCGTCGTTATGTAGTCGTGGTGGATGGTAGAACTCACTCTTCTGCCAAACATAAAAAGCCATTCAAGTAAGCCTAAATGATGAAGTCATGGACTTTGGAAAAAGCTGGTGAAGGAAGGTACTTTTCAGTGTGAGAAAGGTACTGGAAGTTAGTTCATTTAATATTTAATTTCTGGCATTATAAGGTCATAAGTTTTGCATGAATGTTACCTCGTTTTTTTCATCAAGTTCTGTGGCGCCGCATAGACATAAGTAAGAAGCAGTGAAATTAGACTTCCTTTCGAAGTACACTGATGTATAATAAACTCTACAATGCTGTCATTTTGAACTGATTTGCACAGAGTGGTCCAAAATATTTCAAAGCTGAACAATTTAAAAATTCAGCATAGACTTTTATTCCTAAAGCAGCTGCATAATTTGTAATATGAAGCTTTATATGGCTTAGAAACGGGATGTTTTCTTTCATTTTAAAATGAGAGAATAACAGGTGTTAACCTTCAGTTCCTCTTTTTGGATAGCAAACAACTGAGATATGTCTCTGTTCTGTCATTTTAGACTTAAAATTGCCCATTTGTTCTCCTGAAAAAAAGTTCTTTCGCAAACATAATAACGAGTTTTAACTTAAGTAAAGAATGTAGTGAAGTCTGAAAATTCGAGATAAAATGAGAGCAATGAATGTTAGCCGTTGCTGTTGGGGCATACCCCTGACCCTGTTATCCATATGGCAACATAAAAAGGCTGCATCAGAACCTCCTCCAAGAAACAAGGCTGATCAGAGTGTTAGGTACACTGCAGTTAGCAACCTAAACTCTTCTGAGTTTGCTGCCGTCTCTCTGGGTCTGTCATTTTGACTCACTCAGAGTTCAGCAGACAGAGGCTTTGCAGCTGACTTAGTGACCGACCTGTGCTTTGAGCAGATGCTCAGCAGACAGTAGTTTGCTGAACCCGGAGCTCCGCTGTTGGCAAGGCAGCATTGCTCTGATCAATACAGGATGTGGTCAAATTTCGGTTTGCTCACAGGTTTCTCACAAGAAAGGGAGAATTTTCATTTTGTGCTAGTGGGTTATAGTGGTTAATCACAGTAATCAAAGGTCAGTCGTGCTTACCTAAAATGCCATTTATCAAAGGCAGTGGTTTCACTACATGAACGTTTGAGATTGCAGGTTACTGACAGAACATTTCAAATCACAGTTTGCTAGAAAAAAAGGTCTAAAAGTAATTTTTATTATTTAAGTATTTATTTTTGTGATTACGGCGAACAGGACTCCTGGTAGAGCAGCTTGTTTCTTACATAAAATGCACTAAAGAGACAGGGGGTCAGGTCACAAGAACAAAATGCAGTTGTACTCCTCCAGCCACTACCAATAAAATGAACTGCCTCTTCAGCTGCCAAAATGAGCAGTTGACACGTTGCTACCGTGCTGAGGAGGTGTGCTGCTCTTGTGTTGACATTCAAAACACAGTCATGACACCCTGCAAAGTCCGTGTTGATTCTTGAGCCTGGTTCCATCTTATCAATGGAACAGGGAGTGGGAGTAAGTTGTGATATTTCAGTACTAAAATTAAGTCATCTTTCTCACTGAACTGCATAGCCCCGCAGATCTCCCTCCCTCCCCTTTGCTTGACTAAATGGTTATGGTTTACGTTGACATCTGAAGCATCGCTATTTGATGGCTGAGCAGACAGCTCTCTGAGATGGCAGGAACAATTCACATCTCGGAGCTGTTTGACAAATCTCCCTGTGAACTCCTTCACCTACAGTCAATCGCCATTTTTACTTTTTGCTTCCAAACAAAACCAAGGTATGTTATTCTTTTAACAAAGTTTATATTCCGAAGAAGTCACTAACCCCTGGGGTGTCTTCTTGCAAATAAAGGCACCTCTGACTTGCTTCCAAGCCTTGCACAGGATGTTAAGCGAGCAGAGAGGTTATTGTGTTGTCACCACTCTGGGACATCTGCGGACTGAGAAAGCCAATTGCTGTGTGGAAAACAATATAAAACATGTTTGTAAGCAAACAGGATGGTATGGCTGGTGCAGCCTAATTCTCATTTCTTCTTTCCTCCACAGTTTTTGAGCAAGCCTCCCAGCGGTTTGCAGTTTTCTTCTTCACTCCCACAAGAAGAGCATCTTTTTTATGACAAGATAACTGTCATTTCAGAAGAATCCGAAAATCACGACAATGAGACTGGGGATGAGGCCAGCAAGACAGCAGAGCACCTTCAGGACTCTGACCAAGAAGATTCTGATTCAAGAATAGTACCAGCTTCAGAAAAGGCCTAAATGCACTCCTCATACTTCACTTGGACCAAAAGGAAAGCAAATGGGCTGTAGAGTTTATCATCTTACTGCTGCCTTCTTAAGACAGTAAAAATTCATATACGAAGATGTGTACGCAGACTTTTGACACACTCATATTATTTAAAGTACAAGAAACTTGACTATAAATGAGGAATTAAATGATATGTAATTTTTGCCACTGTTTGTAGTGGCTCACTGTTAAGTTGTAGCAATACCTAGGATGGTATTACGACATTAATTTAAAAAGTAAATATATATATATATAAAATGCTAGTTAATTTAACTTTGATGAACTATTTATTGCAAAAGCTAAACAAAACGGCATATTGTATAAAGTTTGTAAAAGAAAATCGTATTTTGTAAAGAAAGATGTTATCTGACTTATTTTTTTTAAATCAGAAATTGTGTGTATTTCATCAAGATTTCCCTAGCGGCATAATCTTTCTATCAAATATTTTTTTAACGGATGAAAAATTGTAAAGTTATTACAATGGTATGGACTTGGTATGAATAAACCAAACACAAAAATTCAGTGTGTTTTGCACTGCAAGGTGTGACTTGTACTTCATCGCTAAGGACCATGGGAACACACCAGCGCGCTGCCAGATAGCCTGCAATGTCCTGGTATTGCTCAGTCCCCTCAGCCTCTGCCCTGCAGTTTCTGTGGCTAATTAAATTTTGCCTACCTCATCCAGAGACACTGAAGTCTGTGGGAAAACTTCGCAGCTAAAGTGCGAGTGAAAAGTAGGTTCATTTTATTTTATCTACTGATACGTATTCTTAGTTCAAAAAAAGTAAATCCAGGTTGATGCGAGTCCCGTGCTACATAACGCATAGTCTCACCTGCGCAGCCCTGTTCATGCGCATGAAGGTTGTGTCCACACCAACACTGGGGCATAAAGTGTGCCCTTCGCACTGTGTGCTGATGGTGTGAGTGATGCACATTTTTTGGTGGGTATTACATCAAAATGAGAGTGAAAAATTAAATTCTGTTAGCAAAAGTAACTTGCTACGAGTGAAGTTGTGTGTAAATCGTAACCTGAGGTGGGAACTGCAAAAATTTTGGCTATGATTTTGAAGTTTGTTAATTAATGCGTAAATATTCACTTCTTGGGAACTGTTGCAGGAAGAAAACATAAGGAGAACAGGCATTGATTTCTTTGTACCACCCAGCTGCATGTAATCCGCGCATGTTTTTTCTGCACTTTTTAATTTGCATAGTATTCTGGTTTAATGTAGAGTATGGAAAAAATGGGGAAGCATTTTCATTTTGGTTTTTTTTTTTAAGGCATTTTGTTTCATTGGTGCTTTTCTTCACCTCTCACCAAAGCTGCTCTGTGAGCACTGATCCTAATGAAGGCCGATGACCTGTGCCTGGCACACCTCTCCACTGTAAAAATTCAGCTCCCTGTGCATTCTCTATCCCTCCTTCCACAGTAGCAGCTTCTTTTTTGAGTTTTTTGGTGGGTTGTTGGTTTGGGGTCTTTTTGGCTTTCAGAAAGGCAAAAACCTCATAGCGTAGCTCTTGCGACCAACGCATACGCTAGTTCTGGCTGGCCGGCTGCTGTCAGAAGAGAAGAGGGTTGAGATTTCCTTGCCTTTTCCTCACTCTTTTAGTAGAGCTGCTTTCATCTATCTGGCGGCTGATTTTCATGGAAGAGCAGGAAGGTACTGTCTATGGAATGTGGCTGAAATCAATCAGCTGGTTCAAAGGTTATAATGAAGGCGCAGATAAGGCAGTCCCATGTGCTGTGCCACTTCATTACAGGTTCATTGGTAAGTCAAGTGGCAGCAGAGAACAAAAATAATCTCGGCTATTCGGAGATACGGTCTTTTGGGATTAAAGCAGGGAGAATGTGTGCAAGAACACTGTCTCCAATATTTTGAGAGGTTATCTTCCCCCATTTAAAAAGAGGAAGCATCTCCTTTCATGTCTTTGGCAATACCGATTGTTGTACTGTCACATGAGAGGAGAGGGAAAGACTCCGTTCTCAGAATACTGCTTCCTCTTTCAACACATGCAGACACATGGGGAAAGGAAGGATTCATCCTGACCACTTTGTTTGTTTAACTTTTCTTTGATATGGAACATGGTGTCTTTAAAGAAACAGCTGTTTTAAGTTCATGTGAGCCCATCTTTAACCTACTTTCTATGTCATCATCAAAAAGCCTTTCTATATTGAATTCCAAAATGAAAAATATATTGAGATTCCAGCTGCACCACGACTAGCATAAAATAGAAATGAGTTGCCCAGCTCTGCATCTCAATAGGTTGCCAAAGTCTCCAGAAAGTCCAGAGACCTGTATGATCCTAGCAAACGTTCAGCCCTCAGTCATACCATGCTCCAGTTGTCTGAGGACATCAAGCCGACAGAGCTGTTAGGCTATGCCATTGCTAGCGTTATTCTCATGCAGATAACTTGGTGAATAAAGTTAGGAGATTATATGCCACACAGAACAGAAATGAAGGCTCCAATGCAGAATATATTTAATAAAGGTCATCCTGAAAGTGCAGAGAGACATTCTGTGAAATCCTGATTCGCTTATCTGGTGCCAGAAGTCTTATTTCATGCACAGCTAACCTTGTAGGCAGGGCATCCTCTAACACTGATGCCTGCTTGCTTGTCTGCTCTCCCTTCGGTCATATAAGCATCCAGCACATGCACTTGTGCAGTGTAGCAAAGCATTGTTCGTACTTCTGTCTATAAAAGAATTAAAAAGTAATGTTAAATAATTATTTGACCTTATGGAGGACTGTGATTAATGCTTCATTACTGACTTCTCTGCCCAGGCCAAATTGCTTGTATTTGCCTTGTAATCCCCTCAGATCTTAAATGAGGATGATGGTATGCAGATACCACAGTGATGGGAGAGGCAGAAGCCCCCAAAGCAAGCAGGCAGGCATCATGTGAGTAATGAGAGCAAGCAGGAGAGGGGTAAGGCCTGTAGCTAACGCATACAGCACCTGATAAACCACAGCAAGGCTGCTCAACGCACCGTGAGGAGGGCGGAGGAACCTGTATGTTCAGTGACTGTTGGAAGACAGATTCACCTTGCTGAACCAGGCAATGCATTTCTTAGGTGACTCCTGTTTTCTTTGCTAAATTTTACTCTTCTGACCTCAGAAGAGGGTTTCTGATTAAAAAGACAGTGACTGTACTTTAGAGCTCCGGCATGTAGTGCTCATTGAGATCTGACTTGCGGTAAATGTGGAGCATGTTCACCTCCAGGCGTCATCCACAGCAGTTGAAGGAACCTGCCACAGACAAACGAGTTTCTTCCTCCACACATAGAAGGAACTTGATGTAAAATTTCGGGCACAGGACACGCAGCACAAATACAGAGCAGTTCACGCCACTACGAAAAGGGAAAGCCCAGCTCATTTTTCACTTCTGACTTCTCACCTCTGACCTATTTTTTCACTTCATTTCATATTAACCTGACTGAAACTCAGCTGAGCTATTAATGTGTACAGTTTTTACTCACATGTTGCTAAGCAGCTATTCCTGGGGATTTCAGGTTTTCCCATTGTTTTGTTATTTAATGGGCTAAGACACAGTAAATCAGTTACAGTTAGATAAAAGGACTAAGTGACAAAGGATGATGTGTTCAGAAACCCCAATTCTAGCTCCATAAGGCAAATCCCTCTGGCTCTCCCTAGACAATATCTCTTTCAGAAGGCAACTGCCTGGGATCCTGCTCTGGAAGAGCATCTCTTTCCTTGATGATTACAGAAAAAAAAACTAGGCTACTTTTTCCTCTCAGGCAAGGTTAGTCCATAGAAATACCACTCGGACATCTTGTATTCCTTCTTCCTGCTCCAGAGGGAAGTTGGGAATCTAGTCGTGACTGAGGCTAGGCATGGCTAAGGTCAGATATCGCTGTGCCACTTGAGAAGAATTAAAGCTGACTTTTAATTTTAAAGGTCGACCTTTCCTAAGCGCTCCCAAAAGCAGTCCAGATTTTTTTTCCTCAGACTGACCTGCAGTTTGGTTTGTTTCAGAAGTCTTCCTGTTACAAACTGAGTCCTCACACGAAAGCATTTGTGGGTGACAGTCCTCTTTTTCAACCACAAAAGCCACGGCTTCATGGAGATGTGTAAACTGAGCCAACAGGGAACAAGGTGCAGCGTCTGGCTGTACCCAAACAGCCTTCATGGCCCCACAGGTACCCCAGGCAGTACATGGCACCTAGTGCCTCTTCAGAGAAAAGCTGATCTTGAGCTAAGCCTGTGGACAGGACAATGAAAATGGATCAATAAAATAGGTGAACTTCTAACAGTGCCATGGTGTAAACCACGAAGTACGGAAGTATGCTGCTAACTCTGGCACAGCGTGCCAGGGGTTTTGGCAAAGCGGTGAGTAAAACAGACTACTTTGAAGACCTGGGAGCTACTGGAAAAATATTTTAGACGTGAAATGCAAAGCAGATCAGGATGATTAAGGACTGGAGAAGTGGGGAAAAGAGAGGGAGAGCAGTCTAGGCTTGTGGTGAACAAAGAAGATTATAGAAGAGGGCAATAAGGCAAGCCAGTAAGAGAAGGAACAGCAGTTTAGCAGGTTCTGGCCAAGGGAGAGGAGAGAGCATTTCAGGGAGAAAGGGAACACCGGAGACCATGGCCAACCAAGGGACTAGGGATGCGATTGCCCACCAGCTCCATATTTTTCTTTTATTTCTCCATATGGGTAACTTTGGTTACTGTGGTAACTCCCTCTGCATCAGGTCCTGGAGGCATCAGGGCAGGCTGGCTGTCTGAGCTCAGAGCGCAAATCCGCACCTGCTGGCTGCCCGGCCAGAAAGTCCCACAGAACAGCACAGCCAAGCTTTCAGAAAGGCTTTCAGAAACTAACTCTACATCCATGACAAGCTATAGAAAACGCTTTTAAATAGATTCTTAAGCAGAAATACAGCATAAGAATATGCCATATTGTTACCCATTTTTTTCTGAGGCAGGCTGGGAAATAACCATTATTACATGGCAA